CTATACGAAGTACCGTTTGTCCAAAATATATCAAAACGTGTCCCCAACTTGTGATCGATGTCAGCAGGCTCCAGGCAACCTTATTCACACATTCTGGCTCTGTCCACGACTTCATGATTACTGGACAGAAATCTTCTCTCATATTTCAATTGTTGTGGGCAATCAGGTAAACCCTAATCCTTTGAGCGCTCTTTTTGGTGTATTCGTGGGACCACCCTCTCTGTCCAAATGTCAATCAATCAATCAATCAACGTTTATTTATAGAGCGCCTTTCCTACACAAGGCAACGCAAAGCGCCTCACAACCCATATAACATCATGCATAAATCATCAAACATTAGAATTTAAGTAAACATAAAAAGACAGATTAAGAGCACAAGATATATAAAATCACACAAGTAGTTAAAAACCGTAAAAAATTAAAATCACACAAGGGATTACAATCATAAATAATCATAAATAATCATAGCGCATTAAAAAGATTAAAGATGAAAACAAATGTAAAATCATTCACTTGTATGCACAGCTAAAAAGAACTGTTTTCAGTTCAGTTTTAAAAACTGCTAGAGTAGACGCCTGTCTCACACTCTCGGGAAGACGGTTCCAGACTCTAGCTGCATGAATCTGAAACGCAGCCTCCCCATGTCTAGTTCCGACTCTTGGCACTAACAGAAGTCCAGTCCCTGTGCTCCTCAGAGCCCGAGTTGGTTCATATGGCACCAACATGTCGCGGATGTACCCTGGTGCGAGGCCATGGAGAGACTTGTACACAAGTAAAGCTACTTTAAAATCTATTCTCTGAGCCACAGGAAGCCAGTGCAGAGACCTGAGGACCGGACTAATGTGGTCGTACTTCCTGGTTCTAGTCAGGACTCGAGCTGCAGCATTTTGGATGTACTGCAGCTGTTTTACCGCTTGTTTAGAGAGACCTGTGAACAAGCCATTGCAGTAGTCCAATCGACTGGAGACAAATGCGTGGATAAGAATCTCCAAGTCTGCTTTAGACACAATGTTTTTAATTTTAGCAATGTTTCTTAGGTGGAAGTAAGCTGATGATGTCACAGATGATATGTGGCTATTGAAATTCAAGTCTGAGTCCATTATTACTCCTAGATTTCTGACCTGAGTTGAGGGTTTCAGGGAGAGAGACTGGAGGTGGCAGATAACGCTCTCTCTTTGTTTCTGAGGTCCGAAAACAATAATTTCAGTTTTTTCTGTGTTTAGCTGGAGAAAGTTATTTTGCATCCAATCACTGATCTGTTGGATACAGTGAAGGAGCGAGTCCACTGGTCCATGTTCTCCTGCTGTCAGGGACACATAGACCTGAGTATCGTCAGCGTAATTGTGATAGGACACGTTATTACTGTGTATTAACCTACCCAGAGGCAGCATGTAAATATTAAACAGGAGAGGCCCCAGGATTGAGCCCTGTGGCACTCCGCAGGTCAGGGCCAGATGGTCTGAGACACAGTTTCCGATCTCCACAAAATACTTTCTGTCCTGTAGGTAGGATATAAACCAGCTTAGGGCTGTTCCAGAAACACCAACCCAGTCCTCAAGTCTCTGAATGAGGATACCATGATCGACAGTGTCGAAAGCAGCACTCAAATCTAACAGGATAAGAACTGAGACTTTTCCTGCGTCAGTGTTAAGTCTGATGTCATTTGTTACCTTCACTAGAGCGGTCTCTGTGCTGTGGTGGGGTCTAAAACCAGACTGGAACATATCAAAAGAGTGATTGATTATTAAAAATTCTGTAAGTTGTTGATAGACAACTTTTTCTAGAATTTTACCCATGAAAGGCAGATTTGAAATGGGCCGATAACTTTTAAGTGCCAAGGCATCCAGACTCCTCTTTTTTAGGAGGGGTCTGATGACTGCCGTTTTCAGGGCCATTGGGAATGTTCCAGATTCAAGAGACATATTTACTATATGCGTGAGTGAAGGTAAAAGACTGCTCAGAACAGATTTAAGAAATCTAGGAGGTAATACATCCAGGCTACATGTAGAAGAACTCAGACTTGTAATTATCATTTGGACAGTTTCATTTTGTACTGGTGTAAAGTGTGTCAGCCCAAAAAGCTTCACTGGCTGTTGGATTGTAATTTCTACTGTGGAGGTGATGGCATTTTTGATGCCTTGGACTTTGTCATTAAAAAACTCTGCAAACTCATTACATTTGGTTTTGGAGGTAAGCTCTGATGGCATCTTAACAGGGGGATTTGTCAATTTATTTACCGTTGAGAACAGAACGCGTAGATTGCCACTACAACCTTCGATTGTTTCGGAAAAATAAGTTTCCCTCGTTCTACGTAGCACACTGTTGAACTTGCACAATGCATCTTTGAAGATCTCATGGTCAACTTGGAGATTTGACTTTCGCCACTTCCGCTCGGCTCTCCGGCACTCTCTCTTCTGTGCCCTGACAGAGTCTGCTTTTGTCCATGGCGCCTTTTGCTTATTTGTAACAATTTTGACCTTTACAGGAGCAATCGTGTCCAGAACATCCAAAACACTAGAGGTGACAGAGTTAAGTAATTCATCCACCGTAGAACACAACGTGTTATCAAAGTTTATCATCCCCATGAAAAGTTCACCTGTATTTTTGTTTATGTGTCTTCTTCTTCTAACAATTGAGGATTCAGCTCGTGCTTTACTATTGAGACACATATCAAAAAATACACAGAAATGATCTGACAGAGCAACATTGGCCACATTTACATTTGAGATATTAACCCCTTTAGTAATTAGCAGATCGAGAGTGTGTCCTCTGCTATGGGTGGGGCCACTCACATGCTGAGTGAGACCAAAGGTTTCCAGCACAGAGCTCAGCTCTTTCGCGTATCTATCATTAACGTTATCTACATGTATATTAAAATCACCTATGACGACTAAACTATCAAAGTCTGTGCACACAACTGAAAGCAACTCGGTGAAATGATCAGTGAAACTATGACATGACTATCTCACTTATTACACATATTTTTTGGGATTCCTTTGACTGGATATTATGACTACAAATACTAGTTATAAATTGCATGTAATCTATGTACTGATAATGATAGAAGTGTACCCTCAGTGAATACTTTGGGGTGTACTATATTAATATAAAGTCAAACACAATTGTAGTGGTGGAACTCCTTAGGATATGTGCATGGTAAATAAGTTTGCTCCAATGTTAAGGGTTGATATTCACGTTTTCACATATCCACAAACCCTTAATATATATACCCTGTATGAGTAATAGACACAATATTGAAAATCAGGTACTTTTTCATCTATAAAGCAGACAGACATGATTTTCTAACGAATTTCCGAGTTATAATTTGCTGTACTTTGCTGTGTCTACACTGGCTACACTAAATTCAGAGGAATGTGATAAGAGCAGAAGCCACGCGTGACGGTTTTGTGTGTTTTTTCTGCCTGTATGCGGGATATAGAGACGGAGTGGTGTCGGTGTCAAAGTGCTATAGGAAGTGACCTCAAGAAGGAAGCAGCAGTGAATTAAAGGAAACAAACTGGATCTGGCTTTGAGTTGCGTTTCCTCTTTTAGTGATTGCCGACGAATAGAAAATAGACTGTACGAAGGAAACATGGTGAATGGTGGGCTTGTGCATGACAATTCTATCAATTATCACACATTCTACTTTTAGTTCTCTCTGCTCTTGTTTAATTACCTAATGTCTATCTTTGTTTTTGCCTGATCCAACGGCTTTAGCTCTTGAGGGTGAGACATGGGGATCAGAAACTTGAATGATGGCAAGTTGATAGCAAACATGTATAACTCTACATAAAAATAAAAATATGGATTCAGTTTTGAAATTGAGCTTTTTAAAAAGATCTTTCTCATTATATCTGGAGGATGGTGGAGGGTCATTTTCTCCTTTAACAAAACACAATGTAGTTTACTGAGGAGGAACATCCAGTTGGCAAGTAACATGGATCCAACTCTCATCCCAATTGGGTCAAGTTCAGTATCAAGTTGTGAAAATAGTGGGGTTTAACTTAAACGATAGTGAGGTGCATAACCTTTCTTATATAGTAAATAACACAAAAGTTCAATGTTATTGTCTTTACTTGTGTATTTATTTCATTTTATCAATTGGTAAGAGAGATCCTAAGAGCCCAGAGCCACTATTTGACGCTTTTCTTTCACACTGTAAGGCCAGAAATACATACATGTGAAAAGCATTTTGAGGGCAAAAAACTAATTAGTCTATTTGTCATATGGTTACAATTGTTGTGGTTGTAAAGTTAGGTACCCCAGCTTTAAGCCCGAGCGCAATGCATCCACACATCTTATTAGTGCTTAGGTGCAAAAATAATAGTTAAAAAATAAACATATTTTTATCCATTGCTCCTTTTTTTTTACCACTTTTAATGTACTTTTCTAGTGAGCCACAATAGAAAAGGTTTTGCATCTTTTACAACCCGCCCCACTTAAACCATCACATGAGAGGACATTGTACCCAGAGAAGAGAGTAGGTGTTTAGACTAAACCCTGGCTGAAGGTGGAAGAGTGTGGTTTCCGACGTGTTGTAATCATCTCTGCTTTGGTGAAAAGCATTTCCAGGCTGTTTTTTTTCTCAATAAATTGTAGGGTAGATGGAGGGCTGTCCCTGGCACCAGATCTGAGTGTGTTTACATGGGCTGCACTGTATTTTCCATTTAATCACGGAATGTTTCTTTGTAGTTTGTCATTTTGCTCCAGTTGTGCCACACATGGACCGTGTTCCTAATACAACTGCTGCTGCTCCAATGCCGATATGGTGACAGTGACACTTGCATTTCATTACTTGATTTTTTGTTTATTTTTTGTCATTACTGCTTCGGCATCTGCTTTGGAGCGGCAGTTTCCAGTTGGAGCCCGTTCACACAGATTTGCCCTCTTATGTGGCTGCTGGGCACGCTAAGCAGCTGTTTTTGTGCCTGTTAAGTGCAAATGAAAACAAACTCTAAAAGTAAATCTCTCCATCTGCTCTTTCGTAGAACTCCGAGATGATGTTCGAGCCGGAGTCGGACCAGATACATCAGGATGAGTCAAAGGTAGGTTTCAAAATTGCTCCAAAATACATTGTGGCAAACATTTAGAGAAAAAAGTTTGGCATTTCCTTTTCCATTGTCTGTGGTGTAGTCGCTGCCCTTGGACTTGATTGACACTGGGAACGGGTTAAAGGTTCAGACCACCGCGCCTCATCTGGTGAGCCTGGGCAGCGGGAGGCTCAGTATCGCCATCACTGTGCTGCCACTGAAGGAAGGTAGGAGTGCAAAAAAACACACATGATAAAGATACTGTATTTACACGTCCAAATATGATTCTGCTGTGTATTGTTAATAATGTATGGGTCTTACATGCTGCTTTTCTGGATAATCAACAACACTTCGCATTAGGCAAGGCAAGTTTAGTTGTATAGCACAATTCATAAACAAGGCGACTCAAAGGCAATCACACGAGGCATTAAAATCATAAATAATCACAGTACATTAAAAAGAGCAAAGATAAAAAATATAAAATCCCCCAATTGTCTGCACAGCTAAACAAAACTCTTTTTAACCTGGATGTGGGTTAAGTGTCTTGCCAAAGGACACTACAACAGTTTGGAACTTTTAACTGTGGCACCTGGTGTTCCCAGAGGTCTCCCATCTCAGTACTAACCAGGCCCTCCTCTGCTTAGCCTCTGACATTTGACAGGCTCACACATTCACATGCAGGTGGATGGATTTTGGATCTTTAAGTAATTTCACATCCTTTTCCTTTAAGTTACATTGAGTAACCAAAGAAAAACCACAGTGAAGGAGAGATCCACTCCGAAGGAAGAACAATGTGTACTTTTAGACTGCATTTGCCTCCTCTTTGCAATAATATAATGGACTGAACCACTTTTGCTACATACACATCTTGAGTACAGATTATATACAATGTCAAACTAGGGTGATATCATTCTGGTTATAAATGCCCCTTTTGTATTTTCACAAGTTTACAGCTGTCCCATTTCTTCTTTACACAAACACATGCAGACAGCTATTGGCACCTATAGCCAAGTCAAAAATACTTATATATATTCCTTCAGACCAAGGCTGAAAGCAACTAAAGTACTAAACAGAAGATATCCCTATATGTTGCTTCACAAATATCCCATTATATTTTCAGTGAAAAAGGGGCACTTTGTTTTCACATTCGTTCCGTCAAAGTTCTAAATGTCAAAAAGTGGGTAATAAATCAACAATGGTATGCTTTCATCTGGAAAGAATTGTAGTTCAATCAATGTCCAAAGTGTACTTTGTCTCTCTCCATGCTACATTTGCCAAGATCATCCCACACATATCAATAACTAGTAACATAACTGTTGCTAACTTAGAACTTTGTCACTTTGTCCCATGCCTTCATGCTGCTAACATGTACTGTACATACTGTATGTAAAAATACATCTTACTGTGTATAATACTTGCACTAGAATACACAGTGCTCTATACTTTCTTTTTGTGTTTTTGTGCTCATTATGCTGAAGATATAGATTTTACTTGATTCTTCTTCATGCCATCCTACTGTTCTGTAACTGTTGATGCAACCCTGAAATTTCCTCACTGTGGGACGAATAAAGGATCCCTTAATCGTAATCTTAACTTTTATTAATAAAATAATAAATGACATACTTTGACATGATTGCTCCTTTTCTTCTCTTAATGCCACATAGTTTCCCAAACATTGCCCTCTCCTCAGACTGGTATGTCCTTCCATTTTGGAGAGGAATGTTGACAACGTGAACTGGCCATATCTGGAGAACTTGTTGATTTTTTAATGCATGTTTGAAGCTGCAAGAATCAGCAGTGACCGGGACCACCACTGCAGTTCAAAGGCGTTTCTCACCATATTCAACTTGAACTGGTCTAAGAGCTTCTTTGGCATGTAAAGGCCAATGAGGTCTGTGGGGTTATTCCCAATGAGCAAAATCCAATTTTTCTTTTAAATAATCCTAGATCACCCTTAGACTGAAACAACTCACCTTTTACCCTGCCTTGAGATTAAGAGATCTTTTCTTTGTCCCACAGTGGGGAAACTTCAGTGTCAGAGCAGTCAGAATGAGTAGTGAACAACACAAGATACATTAAAATAAAATAATCAGGTAAAGGTTGTAATACTACACATATCACCCAATCAACAACACTTTGCTTGATGTCAGTGTATCAAGCTGCGTGACAAAAGTGAAGCTCTTACCATCAAAGTTATTTGTACTCACTTTCCTTTGTAAAGCGGCCCTGGTAAATAATATATTTAATAATATAAATGTATTAGTTTTCTGTAGTGCATTATAATCTGATTACACAGCGCGATGACTTTAGAAACTTATATTAAAAGTCGGAAGTTTGTTTGTACCCTTTTTTTGCTCGTGGTGAAAATCCAACACAGGTCAAAACAACTCGCCTCCATTTCCCACTGTTGTCCTGGGTTGACGCAGATCAAAAACATGGGCCTGCACTGTATAAATGCCTTCTAATTTTTGATCTATTCATCTTTTTTGGTCAGGAGTAACGCGTATTGGGCGAGACGATGCCCCGATTCCTCAAGACATCTCAGTGGAAGGACCTGGGATTGAGGCAGAACATTGTCTAATCTTCAATGAAGGTATTTGTACATTTGTTTTACATTTTAACTTACATCACGTTTTATGACTGATAACACTTATTTTATTTTAACAGGAGGGGTTGTGACTTTAGACCCATGTGGCCACCTCTGCAGCCTGGACGGCGTACAGGTCACTGTACCCACACCGCTCACACAAGGTAAATTTTCAGTCTTACATCATTTTGTTTCTTAGTAAAATGTGAGCAGTAACTGTTTGTTCCAATTTGTTTCATTTATTGATTTAAGAGTGCAGCATTTAAATAGTTGATTATTTACATATACTGCACTAAATTATTGTTATACATGGATCTTTCTCTTTGTACATCTTTAATTGAAATACTGAAAAATATATAATGTAATAACTGCTTGAATCGAGAGGTTCTGACTGTCATATAAACATATAAACACACTTTACAATGGACAAATCCATTTTGTCTTCTTTCAAGAATGTTTAAAAAAAAAAATATATATTTCAAGGGAGACATTTCTTGTATCTTTAAAAAAAGATTGATTTTGCTTGTCCCATAGGCAAATCTAATTTTAAGACATATTAAGACACATTTTAAAATGTGCTCAAATTAAGACACATTTTGCCAAATTTGAGCAATTTTTTAATTGTTTTTCATTTTTGGAATGCGCATGACAAAATTTAGAGCTGGAGTACCTAACTTATTGTGTTCTTAGATTTGCCAATAGTCTTGTCAATGTAAAATGTTGTAAACAAATCAGAACCAAAATACTGCCGTTGTGCTGAGAGGTTATTGGTTGAGTGAGGGTGGTCCTCTCTTTTTACATTTCTGAATGAAAAAACCGCTATAAAGATGTGACAGAGGCTAAAAATAAATAAACCAGAGATAGAACCAAACCGTTTTAAGAGCGAGGAACTTGTTGAATAGATTTTATTAGACGAATTTCATTAAATAGTTAAATTTGTTGTGGTTTGAGAATTTGGTACTTACTGCTTTGTAAGAAAATTTTATAGAAGAATGCGGGTGCTGATCAGTGCCCTCTGCTGGGTGGTGTTAACTCCACTCATTTGGATCTTTCAACCCTCTGCAGAGAGTGCCAGAAAGTACCAAGCAATTAGTTTGAGGTTTTGGTAAAATTGCATCGCTATAGGCACATGTAATAGAGACACTATGAAACGGCTGACGTTGTGTGCTGGGAGAATTACCCCAAGCTTAGTAAATCTTCTTGCCAAGACCATATGTTTGTCTTTTTGCACAATGTATCGAAAGTGTGTGTGAGTGTGTGAGTCTGTGTGTGTGTGTATATATTTCTGTATTTAATTTGTGTGTAGTTGTGGTCTGGAGAGAGCTGACTGACTTGGATCACAGCTTCCTATGAAGGGCAGAGCATGCGTCTAACAGTGTGTTGTGAAACTGAGAAAAACACAGCAGCAGGGAGAACAGTTCTATCTGTTATTCGTCAATGCATTCTTATCAGTATTGACCTTACTGTCCAGGGGTCTGTCTCTTGTCTGTCTGTGTTTATCTGCCTATTATCTATTCCAAGTAATCCTCTGCCCTCTCTCTTCACCCAGTTTTACTTTATTCGTGCTTTCTTAACTCAAAACAATGCTTGTAATTCGTCCCAGTCCTGAGTTTGAGTTTGCAAACACATTTAAATAGATTGTCCTTCTCCATGGAGCTTACCTTTCTGTTTACACACTCTGGTTCCTTTCATTGAGTTCTACGTGCCATGGGTCGCTTGTGTTAAATATTGACAGGGTTATTTATCTTTCAGCTATGCAAGGCCGATACAAATGTTTGACATCATCTTAGCGCGTCTCCACAGCGGCAGTGGACTGTGAGAAAGGAAAGAATGCATAGGATAATACTCAAAAGGAGGGATTTAAAGTCCTCTTAAAGGTCATTGGTTGGAACAATTTAAAAAAAGAGAGAGTGGGGATCTAAGAGAAATATCCAAATGGGCTGAGTTAAAACCGCGAGCCGTTCACTCTCACACACGCCCACCGTCCGCTCACCGTCTGGAGAAGATTAGCTGTGTTTAGGAAGTGTTCTGTATTTGGGACTTCGGAGTTTGGCCTGAAATCACATCATTTGAAAATCCAATAGAACGTTGCCCTGTGAATTTGTAAATGCCATCAAAACAGTCATCTTTGTGGGCAAAACAAGAGACAAACAAATTAGATGTGATTATGTAATTAAGTTATTATATTATTTACAGTATATATGCACCATGTGAGGCAGATAATATGATAACACAATTGGACTATGCATGAATATTTTAAATTGTTAGCAAGCCAAACTGTTAAACAATGAATCAATGTCACTGGTTCCTGGCTTGATCGATCAGTTTTCATATGCGCTAATTTTTGGCCTCAATCTGTAAATCTCCCTTTTCTGTACAGATAGGTTAAAAAGGATCATTCTCACTCAGCTAATCAGCTCTCAGTCCTGTGAGTCAAATTGTGAATCATAGGGCTGAGTCTCAAATATGCTAAATATAATGTGTTTTTCTAATAAGAGAAGTAGTTTTACAACACTCTTTCTTTGGCAACAAACAAAAGCTTATGATGCCGAATGCTTATTGTTCTACTGAAAATCCATTACATACGATTGCCATTCATCTGAAACTTGTAACAATGGAAATAAATAGTCACTTCGTTTTTTGTACATTGCATTCTAAAGTAAGGCTTATATTTCAAGCAATTGAGAAGTTGTTATACTAAATTTCACCCTGAATGAAGTTCACATTGAACCTCAGTGCAAACCTCAGACTTTGACTGGGCACTCACACCTGAGGAACATGCAAATCTCACAGCCAAACAAAACAGGGAGCTTTACTTTCCCTTTTCATACACTCAGCACATCTGACTGCATTCAGTTTTTCAGTAATATTGAATAAAAGACCTAAACCCGGAAGGTTTTTTGCATTAGGACTTTCTCAGATTTTGAGTTTCTCTCAGACATATGTATTGTTATGATAGATCCGAGGCTGTATCCTAAAGAAAGGGCAGGGAAGGTAGGTAGACAAAGGGAAGACGAGGGGGCGTACCAAATACCACACTGTCTATTAGCTTTGGCCCCTACCAAATGTAGACACACGTAAGATGCATTATTTGACAAACCCATGGTATCACATCCTCTACAATTATTTATGAATCCGCCTTTATTCAGAAAAAAACAACAACCTCAATGAAAAACCAAAACAGCTGCGCGTGCCTCAGGAGACACACCCCTATCCTCTGGGACTTGGTACAGTCCGGGGATCGGGAGCTGGCCACATTAGTTCTACTTTCTTTTGATGCGTAGAGAGCGTAGACCAGTCCGCGACAGACAAGCCTTCGATTTCATCCCAGTGAGGAGGAGAAGAAGGAGGACAACAGCCAAACTACTGAGCACATGCGATAGATATTTGTTTATGACACGGTTACTCTCCAAGATTATCCACCCTCACTGAATGGGACACGGACAGGTACATGCAACAATTGAATTAATATTGTGACTGCTTTAATCTGCTTGTTTTTTGTATTATATATCATTTCATTTCATTTTTTTTTCATTTTTTCATCAATCAAGTTAATGTGTGCAATTGTTTTTTGTCATTCATTTGATACAGCCTGTTACATTTGGCTTCATAGATGCAATGATGTGGTTATTTTGTGATATTTGAGGAGATCCCAAAGTAGTGTTATTATCAAGGCTTTTAAGTTGTTAATGTGTCTTCATATTGTTTATCACAATTGCATGCTATATATCACATTTTTAACATGCTGCTGCAGAGGGCATAGTTGTATTTTACAGTAATTTCCTCGCAGAGAATGGTGATGATGGTGCATGGCTGAATTTGACAAGGTTTTTGAGGACTCTATTCCACTTAGAGACCCCCAAATCATCTCATAAACCCCACTGATGATAAAATTGAAGTGTCAACATGCTGAATTATGTATAGGGTTGTATTATGGTAATTTGTTGTGTCATTTCATTTGTTTCACACTTATTTTGTTAGTCTTTTTGGGTCAAATCATTTCTTTTAAACATTCTCCCCAAGCTCACCCAACACTTTGAGAACTATTACTATTGCCCCATTGTAGTGACAAATCGAAAAGGCCAATGCATAGTCTACACCCTGGACTCTTTCTCTCTGTAGTTGCACTGGGTTTTTGCACATTTCTAAGAGAGTGACCTGGTGCACCTCCGGCCACAAATAATCTGGCAAGTTCACAGCCTGCTGCGAGCCCATGTGACAAAAGAGCAGTCGCCTGTGGCTATGAAGACAGACAGTGGTCCGACACCTGACACCTGAAAGAAAACCTTCTACTTTGTTCTTAAAGCTTTTGTGTTTTTCCTCCGCCTCAAGCAATGGGTTTTACACTTAAAAAATGGCATCATGATTTATACTTTGATCATAGACACTTTATATATTTCCTGTTAGACTTGGATTTGTTGTATTGTGTTGATGCATTTGTACAAAACCTGGAACTTAAACTAATTGACAACAATTCCCTTGAGTGTTGTTTTATGATTTAACTTCTGGACCCTTGATCCCCTGAAGAGGTTTATTTGTGGTTTTCCGGCCAATTGACTCTCAGAGGAATGGCGTGTGTGTCTTTCTATGAATGAGCAAAAGTAAATAGCTTAACATTTGGTGGTGGCACAGCCTAAAAATAACATCCACATTTTTAGAATTCCTACACCTTAATTATAATGGAAAGGGGTGGCATGCCTTACCCAGTGTATCTTATCAATTAGCATAGTAACTAAGTTTACCCAAGAGCCCGTGTGCATGGCGTATTGGTTTATTATTCATTTGAACTTAATAGGTCTAATTTGTCACTTTATCCACTTACACTGCAGTAGTTCAAGTTTCCCATCTCATAACAGTGTGGTGAACGTTCCTAGGTTCACTCCAATCTTTCACTGGAGATTGAAATTGGCACCAGACGCAACACAGCTCCTACATCTGTGTCCTCAAAGCTTCTGAGGTCGCACTTTGTAGATCGCAAACTTGAAATTATCCTATAAACGTATGCACAGACTAATTTCAACTTTTGTAGATTTTGCCGAGCAGGGACACACTTCGACATGGGAGGCAAAGGGACTTTACGGGTGAATACAATAACATGTGATGGGTATAGATCTTGATGTTGTGAAGATTGTCTAGTTATGTAGAAGGGGCCAACGTGTTTCGG